CCGCGGGTTCTATCCCCGCCCGTGGTATGGCTTGTTTTTTAGAAGTTATTGTGTTTGTGTACATGTGTGCGTGTAGACTTTTTGTGGGTGTGTAGATGTTTACATATTGTTGTTGTTGTTGTTGTTGTTGTTGTTGTTGTTGTTGTTGTTGTTGTTGTTGTTGTGGTGGTGGTGGTGATGGTGTGTGTACTCACCTAGTTGTACTCACCTAGCTGTGGTTGCAAGGGTCGAGTCATAGCTCCTGGCCCCGCCTCTTCACTGACCGCTACTAGGTCACTCTCCCTGCACCATGAACTTTATCATACCTCTGCTTAAAGCTATGTATGGATCCTGCCGCCACTACATCGCTTCCCAAACTATTCCACTTCCTGACTACTATGTGGCTGAAAAAGTACTTCTTAACATCCCTGTGATTCATCTGTGTCTTCAGCTTCCAACTGTGTCCCCTTGCTGCTGTGTCCCATCTCTGGAACATCCTGTCTCTGTCCACCTTGTCAATTCCTCTCAGTAGGACATACCTCTTAGCTCTGGGACTAGTCTTGTTGCAAAACTTTGCACTTTCTCTAGTTTCTTTACGTGCTTGGCTAGGTGTGGGTTCCAAACTGGTGCCGCATACTCCAATATGGGCCTAACGTACACGGTGTACAGGGTCCTGAACGATTCCTTATTAAGATGTCGGAATGCTCTTCTGAGGTTTGCTAGGCGCCCGTATGCTGCAGCCGTTATTTGGTTGATGTGCGCTTCAGGAGATGTGCCTGGTGTTATACTCACCCCAAGATCTTTTTCCTTGAGTGAGGTTTGTAGTCTCTGGCCCCCTAGACTGTACTCCGTCTGCGGTCTTCTTTGCCCTTCCCCAATCTTCATGTTTTTTCACTTGGTAGGGTTGAACTCCAGAAGCCAATTTCTGGACCATGCCTGCAGCCTGTCCAGATCCCTTTGTAGTTCTGCCTGGTCTTCGATCGAATGAATTCTTCTCATCAACTTCACGTCATCTGCAAACAGGGACACTTCGGAGTCTATTCCTGTGTGTGTGTGTGTGTGTGTGTGTGTGTGTGTGTTGTGTGTGTGTGTACTCACCTAATTGTGGTTGCAGGATCAATTCACAGCTCCAGGCCCCTTGTGTGTGTGAGAGAGAGTGATCGTTCTTGCCAAGTAATATTTTCCGGGGTCTATTCACTGCTCCTGACGATAGAGATGCCTGGCATCCTGCACCATTGTAGAAGACGCTGTTGGTCATGAACCTTGCCCTACCTACTCTTGTAACTGTGTATAGAATTTCGCTTCATTTCTTCATCCACTTTTTCCACCTCGAGTCTGAAGATGTACTTCTTAACATCTTTAAGACTCGTCTGCGTCTTCAATTTCCACCCGTCTTGCCTATATCATCTTTGTTTCAACCATCAATCCATTTCTACATTCGTTTTTTTATTTATTTTTTTGGTACATCATAATCATCTCTTGCGGTCCATCTGGGTCTTCAGGTCCAGTTCCTTCCTTTATCTCTGCTGAAGGACTAGTTAGATTGCAAACCTTTATTCCTCTTCGAACTTCAGCGACCCAAGACTGTTCAACAGCCTCCCACCAGGCATTAGGGGGGGGGGTTACCAATAGACCCCTGGCTGTCTTCAAGAGGGAGCTGGCCAAATACCTAAAGTCAGTACCTGATTAGCCAGACTGTCGTTCTTACGTTGCGTTACGTGCGGCCAGCAGTAATAGCCTGGTTGATCAGGCCCTGAGCAATATCCAGATACACTCCGGGTAGGTGTGGACTTTATATCCTAACAACACATTGACTTAAATTTGCATTAAGTCAATTTGAGTCATTCTGACTGACTGTTGTCGCCCTGGCGTATGTTTCCATCATGGAAGTCGTACGACTAACTCCGGAACATGTGATACTGCTGACTTTATGATCTCTTGTGAGCAGTTACTGACCAGCTCAACACAGGTGTGTGGAAGACCCACTCTCCCTCAAGCAAAACTCTCTCAGACTCATCATCACCTCAACTAGATCCTCATAAATATTAGAAATGAATCGACAACATAAAACATATGTAGAAATGCAACATGTACAGTCTTATTCACGTTATGTAGTATCTAATAAAATGTGACTTAAGTTAGATATGTTGAACGAACAGTTGTTGTCATGCCACTTCTGCCTGCCAGTTTTATGCTGAATTCACTGAGAAAGGTTACTGTATACTGGCATACATCAGGGGTGTGTATTTTTTGTTAGAGTTGCTGAATAGAGTGAACATACGTATATGCTGCAAAAGTTGTGTGATTTACGTGCCATCTGGTGATATGTTTGGTGTGATGGTAATCCCCAGAGCCTTTGTTGTTGATTATATTTGCTGGTTTTCACTTTCTGAGTTGTACTCTACCTGAGGTCTTTTTTCTTTAGTGTGCACGACCTTGTTGTGTATGTACTGAACACCAGTAGTAACCAAGACTTCAACTCTCTCTCTCTCTCTCTCTCTCTCTCTCTCTCTCTCTCTCTCTCTCTCTCTCTCTCTCTCTCTCTCTCTCTCTCTCTCTCTCTCTCTCTCTCTCTCTCTCTCTCGACCGTTAGCGGGCGGATTAACTAGCCAGGAGACAGCGGCGAGGCTTAACAGTGAACCCAAGATATATACAACACACACACACACACACACACACAACACACACCACACACACACACACACACACACACACACACACACACACACACACAC